GCTGAGGGACGAAGGGGGACTCATGTAGAGGTAGGGACATGTAGGGATGGTGGTAGAGATGGGGTCGCTGAGGGACGAAGGGGGACTCATGTTGAGGTAGGGACATGAAGGGATGACGGTAGAGATAGGRTCGCTGAGGGACGAAGGGGGACTCATGTAGAGGTAGGGACATGTAGGGATGGTGGTAAAGATACGGTAACTGAGGGATGAATGGGATTCACATAGAGGTAGGACATAACAATAAAAATGGACAGCCTGATTAGTGGCAGTTATGGTATAAAACTGGTGGTATGGGAATGGAAAAAAGTCTTTGAGGTACCCAGTTCTAAGTAGACACATGTAGTGAAGTCATTCATACATTCATATGTTACTAGGTACCCAAATGTCGTCAATGGGCTCAAGTGTGTCTGTCATTATATGAGTTTTATATGGGAACAGCTACCGATGTATTACCACCATTCAAGACCATGGCCTCTCAGCTTGACCTCGACATGAAATTTTCTGAGGGGTAAGTTGCTGTATAGTATGAACACCTCTTTCTTCTCTCCTCTCCTCCTTGGATCTATTGTGTTAGTACCCTGTATAGTGTGAACACCTCTCCTCTCCTCTCCGTCCTTTCTCGTTCTAGATCCATTGCGTAAATTGCTGGTATTTAAAGATCTGTTCATTTATCAACAGGCGTTGCCGCAAAGTGCTGCCGTTAGCCAGTAGTACTTACCTAGAAAATCTACCATCTCATTATACAAAAAATATTCACCTCAGTCAGGTAAGGCAATGTGAAAAGCATTTGCTTTGCATGGACATTTGTTTATAAAATTTAGGTGGCAAGGGTGGTCTACGCTACCCATCATTAGGCCCCCCAGGATCAACGATTCCCCCAGCCATTACACCCCTAAGATCATCCATTATGTTCCCAGCTCAGTATTGCGGATCGATTTGGGGATTAAAACATATGTAGCTAACGCCCTTCTTTTCTTCTGAATGTCACAGCTTTCTCAAGCTCTTCATGTCTTTGCTCTACATGCCAGAGGACCAGCATATGAACTCTATGCTGCACAGCTACAGGAAGAATGCAACAAGGTCATTAGTAAGACCCTTTTAACGAGCCGTTGCACGCAAGTTACCCAGGTCTATAAGAGCCCTTGTTAAGAAGGTCAAGCTTCCCAGTTGTCACGCTCAATAAGGTCGCGCTCCCACAAAATTACCCAGATTATTCATACTAATGGGGAGATGAATCCTAAAACGTTTTTAGAAATGACCCCCTTCTTATTGAGCGGTCACGCTCTCCGAGATCACCTCCCCTAATGGTCACACTTCTCGACTGGTTCTTAGTTCACAGTTAGGAATTCCCTTGCAGCAAATTGAAACAGGGGTCGGGGGTAGGGGTGGGGAATGTTAGGAGGCACAAAGCGAAAACTTAATTTTTTTTCTTGCAGATTTGGACGAATGGTAGACAACTCTGTGAGGAGCGAAGCTTGACGGGCAGGCACTGTGTCTATCCTGTAAGAAAATCCACTTTATCATTTTGACGAGCACTTTTGAAACACCTGTGCCAGGGAAAGACCGTAGTGTCACCGGTGACCCTTGGACACTTATTCAGATAAACACCCTTTGTACTGGGATGAATTTTATCTGTAGAGTCACCGGGGACCCTGGGGTGTGACAAGTAACCATTATATTCTGTTTTTATTAGTACCACAAGGTTCCTGAGGATATTGGTGAACGCCTATCAGAGAAATCCAAGGAAGACGGCACCATCCCTTGCAAGCCTCATTCGAGTCGCATCACAAGCTTGTGCRCTTGTAATTGCGGTAGAACACAGGAACACAGAGACGATCCATTTGACATACGGGTAGGACATATGACAACACACCACAGGAGGCCCATACAACCTTAAGATTACTGTCTTTCTTTCATTTTCAGACGGCGAACTACGATTTCTTTAAAGTTTTGGAGGACAAGTGCTGCGCATATCTTCTACATCTTATCTTTCCTTGTCATCCCAGTTTTTCACTGTCGAAAGTTCCAGAATTATCTTTAAAAGATGCTGAAAGTCACGTAGACGAACCCCTCCTGGAAATGGCCACTGAGGATAAAAGTCCTCCAGTCCATGAAGAGAATTCCGGGGGGGACATAACAGAGGAGGTACTAGCCGTATCATCGCAGCACGTGAGTGGTATTATTCCCATTCCAAAATCTGCTTTGATGTCAAGAGACTCCAAGGAATCGTCCGGAAGTCACGTACATACCGGAAGTCATGGTCAAAGTTCCAGCTCCCTTTTCAGCTTAGGTGGATTTCATTCTATCCTCGATACCATGTCACACGAAGGGACTGGGAATGAGTACAAAAGTGTGACGTCAGTAGGTATGGGTGGGGAAATCAGTACTGCTGGCTCAGAAGAACCATTGAGTACTGTGGAACCTCACACTAATGTTGGTGACGTAATTGCCTCGGTAAAAAAGCTTGGTAACGAGCAGGCATTTTTACATACCATGTTGACTGACCAATCATCAGAAGGAGTTTTGCCGCTATTTCCTTCGTGGTCGCTATGCAGACTGGGTAGCCTGTCCTCTTATCAGCCTGCCAAGGGACTGGAACAGCCAGGATTTTTTCCCGGAAGTAACTTTCTATTGGTTTGGGATATTCCGCTGTCCAATGAGAGCCACACTGATCAGACGAGTCAGTTTGACAGTCAGGGAAAGCTCTTTAGCACTAAAACAACATCAAGCGAAGCTTGGCCTGCACCCAATGAACTTCCTTCTTTAGCCGGAAGTACACCATCACTTCCTCTACACCAGGCTCTCTCTTACAGTCAGAGACAGTGTGCGGATATGAAAGCAAACACAACTCAAATGGTGGTTTCTCAAAATGTCGCTAAAGGAGCAACCAGTGGCGGATCTACGAGATCTCGAGGAAGAAACGCGCGGGATACGGGACCACCAACAGTACGGGCATATATCGGGAATGAGTACGAATGTCCTAGGGGACATAGGTAAGTCGGGTATCCTTATCTCATTAATGTTATCCTCGTAGTTGATCAATTTGTAATACTTKTTATACTCGTAGGTTTATTTGTTCTGGCCCGGATAAAATGGTCAAAGCTACCACTTCCGGTCACGTGAAGGAGTCAGCTCACAAGTTGGTTACCATGGATATGCCATTATATTTCCCATGCCCCTGTCGGTCATCCAAACCTCTTCTCGCTCAGCTTGCCCGCATCTACGTAGCAACGCCAGATTCACCGGTCCTTGTGTCCCTAAACCCGCGGGTCCAACCCTCTGCCCCACCGTGTCCGATTTTTCATCCGGGGATCGGCACAGGGATATCTCTGCCCCCGGCAAGTTTGTGTGTTCTGCGTTTCCCGTATGTTTATGTGGGACCGGAGGGGCCGATACTGCCTCCCGGGGATTCGCAACCGCTGCTGTCATGCCGGTTGTTGAAGAACGTCTACTTGGTTACCGGACGTGGTTAGACCTCGGATTCATCCACMGGGAGCCCAAATGGAAGATGTCTGTATCTTTCAGAGAAAGACGATCCACAGCGCATCGAACCCTATCTTGTTTGTCGTGCATTGGTGAAGAGGAGTAATGGATGAAGGAGTAGAGGTTTATACCGTCGAGATTCCTAACTGATGCTCGAGACCATCCCTCTCGTTACATCGCTTCCTTGATTTACTCTGGCTGCGCGTTTTGATGACTCTCAAATCATCGAGAACAACGTGTTTTCTGAAACATTTAGTAGCTTAGTCTTCATCTGGTACTTACCACTGTTACAGGACCATTAACGGCTACTCCACCAGCTCGCGTCCGTAAAATCTTAGTCTTATTTCAGCCACGAACAGATAGAAAATGCAGAAGAAAGATTCAAAACTATTCAACTAAACTCTACGTTCTAAAAGTATTTGAATAAGCAAACTTATCTTTTACACATATGTTAGTAAAATATGTTGTAACTTTAAAAACAGGAAAATAAAGCTTTCTTTTTGAAGTTAAATTTGACATAATTCCAGTTCAAATGTAGCAAATAAAAAACGAATATGGAATTTTCAGTGTCCACTACATTCGTGGTTTAACGGATTTTCTACTTATATTGATGGCTTTCAACCATTCCCAAGAGAATTAAATAACAAAAGACACGGTGGCCATGTTGGAGGATATAACAAAAGAATTCTTTGACAATTCTTTTGTTAAAGTCCTCCAACATGGCCGCCGTGAAAACCATCGATAACCATGTCTCTTCTCTCTCATGTGCTTCAAGGGCTTTTCTTCGCTATTCTCCATAATAAACAATGTAATATCCATACTCCAATTTGCTCATAGAAAGAGCGCACAGGTTGGTTAACCACAGGGCATCCGTTCTCACCCTTGAAAAGGAGTATGATTTTTGAGAACGATTTAGCATCTTTTGGTGTCGATGAATGCGGTGCGCAACTTTACCTGGGTGTGAAATCCGTGCGTATCTTGAGCGCACTGAATTGATAATCACGTGATTAGCCATGCATTAACGATTCTATCCTGGCTCCACACACATGCTCTTTGAACCATAATTATCTTGAATGAAAGRACAGGAGGTCTGAAATAGATTATCAGCAAGGAAAATATAGATAGAAGTCCGATAACAAGGCTAGACTTGATACCTTCAAAGGTTGGTCAATAGATTAGGACGCCATATAGGTAAGATAACATATCGACTGTTGTGTTGAATAAGACTTGTGTTTACTTTAATCAAAACCTTKATTGCTTTAGCGCGCATCAGAATAACACCTCTTGGATCGAAGTTAACGATGTCTTGAAAATATCAGTGTTCAATCTTAATCGTGAAAACACCTGTCTGTTATAATGTAMAGATGAAAGACGAATGAATGTCGATCATTGATTTCCAGATATTTATTCGTAGCCACTCTATGAAAGCTAGAGAAGTTAATATGAACGGATCAATAGTCTGTGCTGTTGTTTTGATGTTATCGCCATCCACAGGTAAATACATCTGTTGTTTCTTTTACGATTCTTTCTTTCACTTCATCTGTTTACTCATCTATCCCATTTGGCCATTCATTCGTTCACATATTTATTCCATTTATTTCTTTTCCCAGTTGGCTTATTTCTTTCTGGTCAAACACCATTCAAGGTCCTACCAATCATCGAGTATTACTGTCAACAGATCAATTTCTCCACACCATTCCCCTCCTCCGCGTCCATCAACATCCAGCTTTCGATCCTYGAATCAGGAACAAGCTTTACATACCAGGCCTCGGTGTCCTGGATCGAGCTGGTTAAACAAACCGGTTTTACCGGTTGTGTTGCTACCTCTGGACCAATCAGCACGTACCGCCTTGTCAGTTTGCAATGGATGGCATTTGATGACGTACCAAACAAAGGCATGATGGGTATTCAAGCCGTGTCGCTATGGACCACGGGAACCAAATGTGTGACGGTGGATATGGTTGGCATGGTAACGCGTAGTTAGCTTGCTGATTAAAAATGTAGAGACATTTAATTTTACATTACTGCCGTTATAGCCATGTTGGAGCGAAAGAGCTACTGTACTCCAATATGACTGCCATGAAGTCACTAGCCATTCCGAAGTTCGGGGAAATGCTGAATCGAGCTAGCATTGTAGTGTATTATGGGGCCGGGCTGTTTTAAGGGACAAAATAGACGTCATCATGGAAATATGTCCTCTAAAATAGCCTTACAATGCACTGCAATGCCGACTCCACCCAGTTTTTTCGAGGATACCTCTACTCAGCTATTTCGACAATTATTTTTTATTTATATTTATTATTACCAGATCTTTTCAGTGGTGCCTTACATCTACCTCACTCCCTTCCACTCCACACCCAACTATCATTACGACGCGACTTCCGTTTGGGTGGAAGATCCTACGCGATATGAGTTTAAGATTTGCCTGAGGGAACTGAAAAACTTTGATGGCATGCACAGAAACATACGTGTGGTAAGTACGTTGATCCTCCGCTAGGTTTGGCCCTCCAATAGTCCCCTTCACAATACGTTCCCTGCGCCATCTTGAAAGGAAGCCGTGCCTTTCCATCGAAGCGAGACGAACGGTGAGCTTGCAATGATAGAGAGACTGATTGTCCAAGGTGTTAAAAAAGGTCTCTATCATTGCACGCTCACCTTTCGTCTCGCTTCGATGGAAAGGCACCACTACCTTCAAAGATGCCACAGGGAACTATGAAAGGGACTATTCYCAAGCAGGAGTACAGTGTAACCCGTGAGAATAGAATACATTCATGGTAATATACCTGCTTTTATCTATGTCAAACAGGACTGGCTGGCTTTGGAAGAAGTACCAACAACATGGAATAAACTGATYCCATTTAAAGGCAAACTAATGTTGCCCAACACACACCCATTGATGGAAGAACAACGCTACAGCTTTTGTAAAGTAAGTAATTAGCATATAACGAGGCTTCCCATTGGCAGGTTTTMTGTAGTGTTCTTGTGTTTTAGGGGAGGGGAGAGAGAGGGCTGATTGGTTGGGGTTGTGTAAGGAGTGACCAAGCCACTTATGGAAAATCCTGGCTCATTTTAGGTAAGAAAGAATGGTCGATTTATCAGTAAGATGCATATGTTTTAGCTTGTTTTGGGCCAGGAAAGGGAGGGATGACTTGTTGAGGTTGGGGGAGTGACGCCTTTGAGAAATCCAGGTACACACCCAAAAGTATTCCAGTAATTATACTCAGGACTCCAGAATGACAAAACTAGAGCATAAAGCCAAGTTGCACTTTGCGAAGTATGAGATGTTACTGACATTGTTATTTTAYTTTTAGAATGTGAACTTTACTGAGCCCTTTTACGCTCCACCAGTCATGATCGCCAGCTCCAGTCACGTGTCTGATAAGAACAACCCTAAAACTGTGTACCCAGAAAACAATGCGATCGCGGAGTGGCTAGAGGTGACTGCAGATTTGTTATATGCTCAATGACTTTATTTTGCTGTTTGCACCAACAGCCTCTCTAGATAAATCAAGGGAGGAGGGGGACGAACAGAATATTACCAACAGGGGTGGAGTAGGGTCGCGTCTGCGGCATTATTACCAGRGGAGGAGTAGGTGAAACAATTCAATTACTGACAGGGATGGTTTAAGGGTGCTTCTAGTAAGTCAGTACCAAACATTCATATGTGATCTATTTTAATAGGACGTCAGTGTGACAGGGTTCAGTGTTTGTWTGAAGGACATTCAGCCGTATAACGACCACCATGATCCAGTAACCATCAACTACATGACGATTGGAGGTATAGTGGTCACCATACATATACATATATTGTTGATGACAGTATAGACCTTTTYCGAGTTCCAAATTACCGCTGTGTTCCTTGATTACAGATTYATGTACTCAGGGTTAGCCTCGTATCAGTGTCATGATATTCACAGATACCAWCGTTAAWGCAAAGAATGCACAACTYCAAAAATACAAACACTTCATGGACCTTCGCCGGAACACATGAATATTCTGCACAAAATTGAGTTTAGCCCTGAGCAACAGAGAACTCTAAACTGGAGTATCTCTCCCCATAATTTAACCCCTGTATMAGTGTAGTGTAACATCCCCCGTGTTCGCGCGGTGACGAATATATCACTCATACTTAGTCATTATTCTATTTTCTAGACCTCCATCCSTGTATCAATGTCCAGTGTAACTTCTTTGCCTACTGTAAAGCATACGCGCCAAGAGATGCGCGCTGTGTGTGCCAGACATCTTGCCCGTCATATGAAGACCTGGTGTGCGGCGATGATGGACAGACGTACCAAAACTTGTGTTTGTTTCAACTKTCTGTCTGTCAGTCGAGAACAGATGTGAAGATCCTCCACAAAGGAAGCTGCGTAGGTAATGAAGATATGTCGAAATTATCTTGTGCACGAGGGGGTGGGGKYMAAMSGSCSGRWTYCCYWRRGGGGGGGGGTATACAAAGGCTTGCTCACAGTTTGGGGGTATACTCAGCATCTCTATAACCAGTGGTGAGAGTGGTACGCAGAATTTCTCTGTCAGTGTAGGGTAGGATGGAGGATTTTTCAAGCCTATCTTAACCTGGAAGAAGGGTGACCCTACCAATTTTTTCCTAGCCACACCCTTAGTTTATTTCTCTTTGTGTAATTTTTTCTCGAGCGCTTTTGTGGTTGTTGTTTTTTTTTTCGTAACCCTTCAATTTTCAAACATTAGTTGGGTTTTCCTACAGCGTGACATTTTAAGAGTCGGGTGTCATGCAATTTGTCCATGATAATATGTGATGAAACTCGGTGAACGTAAAGCAGGACATTAAGAGAGAAACAACTAATCTTCTTTTATTCTTATGTAGCCTTCATCATTCATCGTGGTCGCGTCTTCGTWCAATTRGAYACCACCGATGTCCAGTGCAAGACCGTCAACTTCTACCCTCAAGATTTCAATTCTTCTCTTCGAGTTCACGTCCAAACATCAATCAACTATTTCAACCAGACGTCGCCCTTCGTTCACGACGCAGCCGTCACATGGACTGAGAAGATCTCASACACCTCGTTCAGCGTTTGCGCACTTAAAGCTGGCAGAACAGACCGWACTACTCCTGATCGTGGTATAACGTTYGTGGATTATATTGCATATCAGGGCGCACCACGTGGGGCAGTGGCTGGTGAAGAGAAGATATCTGATTGGTGGGATGGAACAACATGTAAGGATGTCAGTATTCCTCAGGTGGGTGTCTTTCAACTTGGTTTTCACTCTGTGTTCCTCCGTGTATTAAAAGTACAGGGACGTGCCTGAACGGCCGCGCAAAAATGCTAGTCCTTCAAATCTAGTCTTCCATTCATTGTACTTTGGTTGCATTTATTCTTCATTTTTTAATTCGTTTTTCTCTCATTTGTTTTTCTTTTCTTCGTTTTCTTTTTCACTTTCAAACATCTTTATAGCGCTCATTATATACTAGGCACGAACGACATTCATCCAAGTCTTGGCTGCGAAGTCGTTCTATAAGGCAGACGTCGTATGACTTTTTAAAAAAACTCGCGGTAAAAATGCGCCGTAACGTGACCATGAGGATGCAGTGTCCAATCATTTTGTCTGCGCCAGCGTGAATTGCGCGCGCTATCATTGGTTCAAAAAAATGCCAGACATCAATCCCGTGYCGTGACTGTGACTTTTTATAGTCACGCAATCTATGTGTTTTATTTTTAGGATAATTTCCAGGGCATACCCCACATACTGGTGACCGCTGAACACATGGCAACAGACCTGAAGCATGACGCAGCCACTGTATGGATTGAGGACCTTACAGGGACGTCATTTCAAGTCTGTCTCAGGGAACTGCAGAACTTTGATGGACTTCATAAGGACATTCGAGTGGTTTGTGATTTCTATCTGACTGTTGAATCTGTATCAATGTTTATCAAAGCAATGATTATTGACTAAACATGTCTATATTTTGYGTTTCTAATTTCAGAACTGGATTGCATACAGCACGTTGCCAGCTGACATGARGGCGGARCAGCGAGTGGTRACTTTTGCCAACGACAAGGTGCCCCTCGARAAAGACAACTATGCATTCTGCCAGGTATGAAACTAATATCACAGCATTCATCATGCTTCTATTGTACCAGCTTCATATCTCTCTTTGGCAACACCATCATCGATCATCATACGGGGCCGATCCAGGGGTGGTTAAAGGGGTGACTAGCCACTCCCCTTTTACTCGAATATCTTTGTATATGATTAGTAACAGTCACCCCCCTTTTCCTGGAATTCCTGGTAAAACCTTCGTAATAGTCTCCCCCTAAAATTCCTGGATCCCGCCCCTGCTGATTATGCACTACGAGCTCTGTTACTACAGTACCTGTCATTTTTATCAACAACATCCTTAAATGATTTGGACTTTTGATATCAAGTAATCAGAGTACAGTAGAAAAGAAACAGTTTGGGTCATGGTATTAGATAATGTTGCCTTCAAGTGTCTTTTCTCTGAGCACTAACCTTCGTTCTAAACACTAGGTAATGTCGTTCAATGCAAACTACACCATGCCTCCCACAATACTGATCAGTGCTGGTCATAGCACAGCTATAGGCAAGGCTATACCACTGTATAATAGTATAGCACCATGGATAGAGGTAGGTATCATACCAAGTGACTATATTACCCCTCCCCTCCCCTCCCCCCACGGTGCTCATCAGTGCTGGTCTTAGCACAGCTATAGGCAATGGTATACCACTGTATAATAGTATAGCACCATGGATAGCATAGAGGTAGGTATCATATCAAGTGACTATACCAATCCTCCCCTCCCCGCACGGTGCTCATCAGTKCTGGTCTAATCCCCCACCCCACCCCCTTAACRGTTTAGTAATTTTCTTTCAGTACRTCACAACCAAGACCTGTCGAATATGCGTGAAGGAGCTTCACATACCGTTTGGCTACGATCCTGTCAGCATCACGGTACTYGCACTTGGTGAGTGATAGTTTATGAAATCATAGCTGCGATGTATATAACATGCGCTCTGATTAGCAAAACGATAACTATGTCAAAGTACAAAATAAAGGGCTTCTTTCCCAGGGCTGCGCTCATTCAAATCAAATTTCGTTCGAAAGGGAAACCGCTGAGTCAAGGCAGAATTTGATTTTGTGACGATTGAGAACAACAAAACAAAAAATCTAGTGAAAAGACTAAAAGACTCACAGCAGAAAGAGAAATACGAAAACGAAACCTCTGCTATCAGGGTACGGGCCATGATCATGGTAAATTAGGGTTTTGGGATAAGATACCCGCCAGTTGTCCAAATRAAACCTTCTTCTTAGTCTTTTGATTCATCTTGATTTAACTCATTTTTTCTTTCTTTTTCCCCTCCGATTTTTTCTTTCCAGGTCATTCTGGCTTCTAAGAATCTTACTCTGTACTACTATTCGAAAAACCGATGCTGACGAAAACAGTGATGTGAAATCAGAAGAGAATGATTGAAAATTATAATAAATATATTCAATATTGCAAATGAACCAGTCTATAGATTTAGGTAAAACAAAATGGGGGAAATATAGGGGAAACGGGGAATCAAAACAAGGACATGAAAGAAGAAGAGGAAGGAGTATGAAAAACGGAGAGAAAGAGAGGGAGATTTAGAATGAACTAAAGAGGGAGAGAGAAGAAAAARAATAAAAGGAGGAAAGAATTTAGTTATAAAAAAAAACACGAAAGAACGAAAAAAGAAAGAAAATCTACTCGTTATGGGTTTCCTGTGTGCAAGTGTCAGTCTATGACGTCATAGCTATAAATTATTAAAGCTGAATCAGAAAGCTTTTAGTCAGCCTTCATTAGCACTTTGTTTATCAAAAATTCCAGAAACATAAATTTTAGGCACGAAGGTCAAAGTTTAAAAGCTTCAGAAACCTTGCTTTCGAGAGATATTCGACAAAACCATTAGCGCTGACATATAATGTACAGAGAAAATAGCTTTCCTTGAGATATTTTGATCTTATCTCTGTTTCCATCAATATCTTAATGAGTAAGATTAATCGTATACTGGGGAAAAATAAATTCACACAATTTTCTGTCAATCTTTATCTCTATAGACTCTACAGTGTGCAGCAGTGGTATAAGCAATCTTTCTCCACCTATTGTAAGACGCATGCAAATTTAAGGGCAAGTTTAAACTTGCCCTTGTTGTTTCATGTGAAACGCATATCAAATATGCAAATGAGATGTAAGCTTACTCCAGACTACCTCAAATCTAAACTTATCCTTCGTAAATTCAAATCTAAATGCTATTTTCTGCTAACGTTAACTCTTGATTTGATTTTATGGCGGCAATTTCTCTTTTAAACCATATTTTTACATTTGTAATCCAGACTATTTACAGTTTGGTCTAAATTTCGCACGTGGAGATTTTTCGCGGGTCAATAACTCCGATTATATATCATCTCCTGTGATTGGTTGCTGGTTATTTGCTTTTGCTAACGATTATTTTGATTGGTTCACTGAAGAAGGAACTCTTGATCAAACATAAACCTAGAGTCAATCGTCTACATCAGACAGAAGAGTCTTCATCGTGTATGTGTGTGGGTTACGTCGATCTTWTTCCTCGGGATTACTCGATTTTAGTCTTTCCAGATATCATTTTATAGCTTTCTAATTCAGTTCAGGTAAGGTATTTCTATAAAGATACCAGATTGCAAAGCTTTGATGAATTTATGGCGCAGATCGTTGATATTTTCCCCTAACCTCGATGTTTTCGCAAGCTATGAGTATTGATTGATACTATTTTATTTTCTGAGTTACTACAATGGCTCGATCTTGATACTTCTTCGTTAATTTATCCAATATTATTAAAATCTTAAATGCATCAAGCGCATCGTTCATCTACKCGTTTTGGTTCTCCGCGATACTCAAAAATGTAAAACACGAATTGTCACAAGTTTGCACGCTTTTGCTTTCACTTTTAATCTTTTTATACATAGGAGCTCGTTCGTACAGATTTTGACATCTATTTTCATTCGTGTAAGTCATAGAAATATCCGACATTGGTTGATGTTTGGCAATGGCCGATTGGCAAAGTCAGGCCTATTAAGTGGGATATTTTTGTTACACAGGGGACTCCCCCTAGGGTTTGGCTCAGATGTCATTTGTCTTTTGAAAAACCAAAACATCAGATTTCTAATTTTTACGAGRAATTTTTCTTCGCCTTAACTTTTCAACCAGTTTTGGAGATGCAACCAATATTAACGTAATTTTATGAAGCCAATACGTGTTTCTCCCCTCCCCCCCACCCTTTCCCCCACCATGGCAAGCAAGCACAATGGCCACCCCCTTAACCTAGGTAGTTTAAAAAAACGAAAAGTACTGCAATCAATATGTCATGCTCATGTCATGTTTTGATTGGGTGATTCCTTCAGCTAATTCACAAAATTTACTGCATAAGAAATAGAGATTTGGCTCATATCCAAACGTGGTTGTCACTTTTGAGACCCCCTCCCCTCCCCCCACAGATTTCAGTTTTGTCAGCACACGCATCTGAAGGTTTTTCTTTACTTTAGGGATTAACAATCCAGTCATGTCACAAGATTCCCAGAGTTCTATCAACTCTTTGGAGTTAATGTCTCAAGAGACACACGAGGTTTTGCAGGCATTACTGAACAGTGATGTAAAGGCACCAATTATGGATCAGCCAGAGTATGTATTGACAATATAGATTAAAGAATTAACAATGCAATGTGGTTGTTCTTCCTCTGTGTTTCATTTAAAAATTAATTTTCRCAGAGGGAGAGAAACCAGAACCCCCAAAAACCCTCAAAGAACTGAAGAAAACCATCAAGCACTCTTAGCCTCACATACTGCGGTGTGATGTATATTCCAGGATTCAAACTTGGGTCACATTGGTGAGAGGAGAGCTGTCTCTACACTAAATATAACAAGGGTTGTCAATAGAAGTCTGCTACYGGCAGATTCYGCCGTCTACTCTTGCTAATTCRGCTGCCTACTCAATTCCCAATGTAATCRTAAATCTTGATTAGAGTTCTTTAAACTAGCAAAATGTGTGAATAAAATAAATTTTAATCCAACCTTTGTTGCTGTGCTACGAAAACAGCAACACAATCAAAACTACAGTGATCGCTGTCCCCCATATTGAATTTTTGTGAGAAGAAAGAGTGAGACTGGTGACAAGTATGCCTCAATTACATGCTCCAGTGATTTCTGGTTTACTGCCTATTTCAATTTAATAACCGCCTACCAAAAGTTTTAAGGACAACCCTGGCAACCAACAGATAGCCTAGCCTGGATCACTATATATTGAAGCATTTAACTTTTTATRAATTTCTTGTTTTCTAGGTTTCAAGCAAGATATCGTCTTAATCCATTTGATATTCACCTTGCTGAAGACAATGGTCCAGGTTAAATCATAGTTGATCCAAAATTGTAGTGTTAAACAAAACATAACATGTCATCAGTTAGCTTAAAGCTCATATTTATTGTTGTTTTTTTTTTTGCAGAGAACGTAGAGATCAATATCGACAGACTCTACTCATTTCCACGGCTTTGCAAATCTGAGGTATACTTTTGTAGGAAGTTTAGTTTCTTGTTGTGAATGACCATCTGGAAAAGATTATCAGTCATATGCATGCATCATCATCATATTATGATCATCATCATCATCATCACCTCCATCAGCATAACCATCATTATCGTCAAGACCATCATCAATACCATCATCAGCCATTGATTATCATCAGAACATCAACCACCCATTTCTAAGCTCTAAATATTTAACAAGAAAATCGAATCTGTTTACTTGGAGGYTGATGTTGGGCCTCAGTGTTTAATCATGCCAATAAATGATCTGTCCTATGTATAGGTATCACTGTGATTTTTCTCTCCTCAAGTTAACTCTTCTGAATTCATTAAAAATCATTTGAATTTACATGATTTTTATATTTATTCAGCTACAAGATGGCAGCCCTTGTGCTGATGGGTCTCCTCAGTTATCTCAGTCAACACAAAATCATTTTATAAACAACACAAGCTATACTTCGCAACAACAACAATCAAMTGATTTGATAAGTCACCAGGTAATAGCAAATGGTAGGCTTATTCAGCAGGTTAATGTTCAGTAATTATTTGTTTT